TCTGAATATTATCTGCACGCTATAATACCAAGAAATCAATGTCATGCCGCTTAAGAAGAAAATTATCTGTTTAATAGTACTTTATTTGATAAATAATTTTTGTTACAGCTTTGAATCCTCTTTTTAATTTATTCGTACATTACCAACTAATTTATTAAGTAACTAGCGTGGCTGTGAAGTGAGTTTTTTTTTAACAGAAATGCCTCATACTCGTTACTAAACAAAAATAACAATTGAATGGCTATATTTAACTGAAGTTGTTAAAATAAGTTTAATTAAAATCGCCATTATGTAAATAAAAGATTATTATTATTACAATGTGCCTGTCTATGTAATTTGTTTTTATATACTGTTTTGTCAGTTGATGTTATTCTAAAAATTACTGTAACTGGAAATATTAATACAGCAAATTAATTAATGTTTTAAATTCAAATTTTTCATTTCATTTTCGTTTTCAAAAAGGTTACCTCCACACTAAGATTTTCTTCTGAGTCGTTCTGAGTTTACAAACATAAATTTCACAAGGACAAACATCCAGACCCGGAATAGTTACTTGTAGGCCATATAAATACTTGTTTCATGCAGGATTTGAACCCGCGGCCCTTAGAGCTGTAACTCATTGCTAAGCCACTGTGCCACTAAGCTGTCGAAAATTGGGTGCTAGACCCTCTCACCCCGCCCCACATGGTATATTCCTATGATTTCTCAAAATGTTGTAGTTACGCTGTATGCTGTTGGTACATTCTACAAATAAAATAAAAAATTGTATGCTAATTACCAAAAGTGAAAGCTACGATGTTAGTGTATTTTTTTCAAATACATCATACGCATGTAGACAATTTAAGTAATAGAGACTCTTATCCACAAATTATGTGAATTGTATAATTATTAAATATTTTATATTCATGCAGTGTCATATTCATATTCATGATCCCAACGCTCTTCTATTTGGACAGTCATTCCAATAAACAGGACAGGAGTTCGATGTACAAATATATAATTTAAAATTTAAAATTTTGTACAGCCGACTTAAATATCAGTTATTAAGAATAACTCAAAAACCATTGGACTGATCATATTCATATGGAACCACACGAGAAGTACCAGCTTTCAAATAAAAAAGAATCAACGAAATCGGTTCCTTTTTGGAAGTCGGCAGAAAATTGGCATGTCTTGTCTTAGTGGGATATGAATAATTTAAATTTGAAATTATTTTGCCTCCAAACAAATACTGTCCCGTTTATATCCATTATAATTTGTGATATTATAACATAAAGCTCTTAATAGAATAAAATATCAATGGGTAAGTAGGTAATAAATAAGAGTTTTAAGTTATCTAAGTACTCATGGTGAACAATTTCTCCGTACTTCATGTGTATTTTCAAACAAGAAATGTACACATATCATCGTCATCATCATTTTAGGATTCCTTCATGTTGTATCAAGTTGATATTCCATATAGTAACAAAGGGTCGCCGTACACTTAGATTACAAGACTGCAACTCGATAATCCTTGCCATTACGAAAGTGCAACTTTTCTTTACCATCGATTGTGGGTTCTTTAAACCATAGTCCGGCTCATTGTCACTTCAGCTTGCTAATCCCTGGGCTATGTCAGTTACTCTCATTTAACTGCGGATGTCCTTGTTACGGATTTTATCACGCAGAACAACTACGAGCATATCTGTTTCTATAGCTCGCAGTCGGTTTCCACGTAGGGTTAGCGGTGAAAGACCACGTCTCTTTTCTGTAAGTTGTTATCTTTGACAACACGCACTAGTACTTTTGTCTTTTTCTTGAAAATAATATTAAATAATATAAATACATACAAACAAATTGTAAAGGTCTGCACAAATACATAGTCTGACAAAATATAGGAAATTTATCATGTTTTTTTCTTATTAGAATACTCAGCGGCAAGAAAAACTAAATAGACAACAAAAGAATAGGTAATTTGTAGCTACACTATAGTTGCTTTTGAGTGACATATGAATGCTAAACCATCGCGTTCACTTAATAATTTCCACCAAGTTCGCGGACTACAGTTGAGTGAGCGATGGATGTACGAATACAAAACTTTAAAATAAAAAAAAACATCAAATTTTGTTCGATACGCTCTGGTAAGACGGCGCTGTGACATGCATTTCGAATTTGTAAAATGACAATACGTTTGACGCTTGGAGAAGATAATTATGCATTGGAACTACATAACTGAATATTATTACGATACATTAACAAAGGAGAGTAAAATTTCTTTACTTTATTTTATTAATAAAATGAATGTGAGAAACAAAGCATATGCGAGCCATGATAGAGTCGGAGCATGAGTTTTTTTATCGTATCGAATGCTAAGGGCACCTCCCTGAGCATACCCAGAAAATTTTCATCGCAGTCGAAAGACTTTGTACCTATTACGAAGCATAGTTCCATTTACGTTCGCTAGGGGCACAAATCATTTTTCATACCATTTATTCGATGACCATACGAAAATATTTGAAATACTGGTGGCATAGTTCCTGTTGACACGGTAATCAAAATTTTTTGGACAACATTTTACAAAAAAGTTGGGTAATTTTTTTTAAACATAATATGTTTGTTACTTGATGTACTATATCTATCTAGTAATCTCAAACTTACCTGGTGTCGATTTTAATAATAAAGTAACAAATTGTATATTATTTTGGGAGGAATATAATTCATATGTTAATGACAGTTGAAATATTTACTTGATGAAGATGATGAAGATGGAATTTGACTAAACCAAAGCTAAGCGGGGTAGCCTCATCAGATTGTTAGCTACATTATGGTTTTCAGAAGCACTTACTTTGGGCTGCTTTTTCATTCTGGAATAACGAATATATCGGATTTTTATCACTATCAGCCCGGCTAGCATGGGCGAGGGACAAACATTTTATCCCCCGATTATATCCACTGACAAGAGATAAAATTATCACGTTATGTCAAACGGAGAGAAGTATATCCCCGTTTGACATAACGAGTAGACATATATCCCCCGTCCGTAGCATGGAGCCAAATGAAAGATAAAAAATTATGCTTTTTTGACATTTGAAAGGGACAATTTTATCCTAGTTCATTGGACATGGGTTGAAGTTTATATTCATACAAAAAATCTATCTAAGTCTAAGTCTATCTCCCAATTTATCTACTGTGGATATTATATCCACCGGTGTGCCCATGCTTTAAGAGTGGATAAAATTAAGCGAGGGGATAAACATTTTCTCCTTTCCCCGGTGATAAAATTGTCCCCCGCCCATGCTAGCCGGGCAGTTACGTATAATTTTAATAAAGTTAATAATTTTCTTAACCAGTATACTCGCTGCCTTATGACCTTGTTTGTGCAATACAGCTCCTTTTTAAGATTTGCAGACATTCAGCTACAAAAGAGTAACGAATGTTCAAGAGTCAATGGCAACATTTTATAAGATTAATCGTTTGCTGATCAGTCATGAACTATAAATGAATTATATGTAGCCAATAAATTATATTTAACAACATATGAATGATTTAACGAGAAAATTTTAATGTGTTATAAAATTACTAAATTTTGTCAGTTGCAAACTTGTGCGATGTTACTGCAAATATGTACGACATACCGCAAAACCTATCTAGAAAATAGATATTTAACGAATAAATGTTAAGTACCTACGTAATTATTACAGACAAGTGATTACCCCAAATGACATTTCGTATTTTTTACCAACAATTCTCTGATAATTATATATTTTGTTTTAAAAGATGACTTAAAAATGTACAAACTTAACTTTTAAGTGTTTTAATTATTTTATGGGATCAGTAATGTAGCAGAATTGGTGACGCCCGGAGCCGCTAAAGTCAAAAGTTACTCTCATTTAACTAATTTAAAAAGTCTTCCACTGTCTTTGTATAGTATTTAGAAATGAAAATAACACACTATAATGTATTTTATATACTTCACCCTGCCCTTGACAAGTTTATTTGTACATATATGTATATTATACATCCCATTTTCAGAATCAGTAATGCTACAGCAGTGTTTGCAATATTTTAATGAAAACTATTCAATACCAGCTAATTTTCAGATTTTTGAGATTTTTACTATCATCATATTAAAAAATAAGGCGGGGAACTAAATTGCATTCCCTTAATGCTCCTAGGGGTCATGGTCTGCCTTGCTATTGGATGCAATTTTATTAACCTTTTCACTTTTCTTTTATCTTACTGATGCATTGATAAAAAATCAGTAAACAGTGCAGTGAACGTACAGTAGGCCATCCTTAAACCGGCTTTGTTACAGAAACGCTAAGTGGGCCAACACTGATGCCGTATGTTTGTTTTTTGGTTCCACTTACTGTAGTTAAATCAAAACGCAAGTAATTATTGTAATATAATATTAAAAAAAAAACCGATTAACATTTAGGATATTTTTTCTATAATATGAAGTACAAAAATACTTTATACAAAAAACACAAAAGAGCTAAAGGACGTCACAATTATTTTAACTACCGTGAAATTTTAGTACGGTATCGTGAATGTGATTCCATTATAATGATTCAAATTTACCATTAAATTATACAAAACAGTACCTAACTACTATTTATAAACGATGTCTGTTATGTTAATATCAGGTACGACTTAATTTGGAATAGCAAAAACAGTTGAATGAGTTTTACGAGACATGATTTATTATAGATAAATCATCATCGGTGCGTAATTAATCGAAGCCTAGGTAAAACTTCAATTATTAAGTGCCATTTCCATTAAATTGATAACATGACTCACATTGTTGTAATTACGATATTTATATAAATATTTACATAACAAAGTGTTGCCATCATTAGCTTGTGCCACTTGTATTAAACCACCAGATGTCAGTTACAGTATCCTTAACATAGGTACTATATTTACTTGAGTTCAGTCACGTGCTAAGGTGTAAACAAACCGGTTCGCGGAGTAAACCGCAATAAGTCAAACGTTTTGCGAACAGGAAAAAGGTAACTCACCGTTTTCGCCCGTGTATCCCCATTCGTGATCTGCCATCACTGTCGCGGTTCTCAGACCACTGATAACAAGTTGCTTTGTGATAGTTTGTATCGGACGCGTGAAAGCCGGATGGTGTACGAGAGTACGCGGTTAGGTCGTGACTGCGTACGAGTGAACGCGGAGGCTCCGCTTTATACATAGGTAGTGAGTGTGTCGCACGTAGCGGACGCGGGTGCTGAGGCGGGCGCGGAGGCGAGAGCGGGCCAGCCGCGTGACGGGCAGCAGACCGCACGCGCGCGCTCCTCCGAACCACTGCGCTGTGCGCTCGCGGTGCACGGCTGCACGGCACACCACGCTCAGCCCCTCTACGCTTTCTACTTCATTGTAATTACACCATTTAATCATCAATTAGATTGTCGTATGTCAGTGCCAATGATTTAGAGCCGCAATATGGTCCATCAACTCAATTGCAGTACAAACTGTAATGGTTACCTTTTGTGGACTTACTGCTATTAAATGTCGATTAATAGGAAACTTCAATGTACTTCCGAAACGAATATGGAAGTTAATTATTTATAACATTATTCAAAAACGCGCGAACTGGCATGCGATCACTCACTTTGCTAGGTAAAAGGGTTGTTGGGGGCAGAACCGATGCTTTCGTACTAGTAATACTGCTTCTCATCGAGGTATGTCTCTATTTTTGATTGAGTATCTCGCCGACTAATGATCGCCGAAGGCTAATTCGGTAATTAGAAGGTGTATGGGTTTGGTAATTAGAAAATCTAGATAAGAAGTTATATAATACGTAATGGTAATAGGCCTCACTACTACCTACATATTCGTACCTATAATTCAATTTAGTATTTATCTTGTTTTACCCATGATAGAGCCACGCTACTGTTATATTATGGACGTATCACGATTGGGTCGGCTCGATCTTGCATGGCACACCTTTTCACAGAATACCAGCGTAAAATAACAGCTTAGTGCTGCTGCGTTTTGTACGGTGCGAATAGAGAACTGGAGATCCTTTTAACTGGAAATGAGGCATTCCATCTTAGGGGTCTTAGGGGTGAAAACGCATCAGGATTTTGATTCTTAATTGAAAATAGATGTAGATGTATTAGTACCAGCTTCCAATGAGGGCATCCACGACTTTTTCTGCCACCAGGGCGGCGTCACTTAAAAGTGAGGTATAATATTCGACAGATTTCATCGGGGAAGTTAATTTGTTCGGAAAATGTAAAGTTTAATATTTCTTTCTGTGGTATTAGCTATATTTTATATTAATAAGATTAAAAATAAATAAACCTAACTACAGATATTCATAAAAGTAAAAATTTTAAAAAAAAAAGTTAAAAAATGTGCAAAAACTTAATAAGCAAACCACTGAGGCATTGTTTTGTGTATTAATATATAATACTTTTGAAACTGATAAACTTTTATTAAAAACAAACTTCTCAATTAAATGACATTGTGTACACAAAAAACTTTATCTCAGTGTCAACTAGCGACATCTGGTGAGCAGAAAATTATTAGCCCTCATTACTATCAGGTGGATTATGTGCTCGTTTGTCACCCTTATTCTATAAAAAACTCATAAAAATTGCCAAGTGGTGGCGACGTAAAAAAATCCATCACTCCATTTCATTCAGTGAGTGTCATCACATTTGGGAAATATCATAAAGATCTTACGGCTTCCGACAGATTTCAGACTCGTCTATGCCAGGTCCTAAAATCCAGACCGGTGATGGTCAGCGTAAACTACGAACCGGTGAACTAGCGTGAAACCTCATGGCAACCCATTAAGGGAAATCCTCTCTGGAACAAAAGATCCCTGGCCCATATGCAGTTATATTCTTTACTCTTACGCCGCCACAGAGTAACTTAATTTTAAAGCAGTGTTATTTGAGACAAAAGATTTTTGTAAAATACATTTTTCCAGTAACATGCAATAATTTGTATTAATTATATAACCAGACGAGTGGTTTTTTTAATAGAATAAGGGTGATAAACGAGCACACAGTTCGCCTGATGGTAAGTACATGCTGTGGTTCATAGTAGTCTACATCAATCATCGATTAAGAATTAAAATGCACGCGTTGCCACCCCTGAGGACTAAGATGGAATACCACGTTTCCAGCAAAAAGGGTCTCTGATTTTCTACACTCACCAAACATGGCTACATTGAGCTGCTATTTTACGGTATTCTGTGAGAGCGTGGTCCTGCCCCGGTCGAGCCGACGCATTCGTGCTACGTGTAATATAGTTGCAGAGTGGCTCTATCGCGTAAATGGTAGAGTGTAAAAGGAGAGCTGTAACAGCATAAAGAGTTTCACATTATAATAATATGTAAGTAGATATGCGCTATTCAAATTGAGGAAACTAATAATAATTGATTCGATATGCACAGGTTTGCTTTGTGTTAAAACGTAATAAAATATTAAAAATGTTGTAAAGTCTTTGTTTGTATTATTTTACGTTAGTCTTGTGTCATTGTTTACTTATTTTAATGTGTTGTAAGAAAAAATATTTTGATACTTTGGAAATTTCTGTATCAACAAAACATAATGAGTACATATTTTACGCGATCACTAGACACATTGAATAAAACCAGTTTTTACGAATTTCATAGCGTTTATATTTAAGTTTATATATAAACGTAATAAAATGTGTAAAAATCGGTTTAATTGAATCTACAAAACTTATTAAAAGTAACATATTGTTAATTTTAAATTCATTGGTACTTGTGTAAATATATAATAAATAAGTGACCTAAATAAGAAAAAAGAAACCGAATTATTAAAAAACTGACATGAAATTAATAAATTGTTATCACATCTAAAAAGTGCATTTGAAGAGGGGGCTAAATCCGTAACATACGACGTTCGGGATTGAGAGAGTTAGGATCGGATCATGTGCCAAGTTCCATAGAGAAGTTTCTTAAATTATAGCTATAGGAATTTACAACATTTTTCAATGGATTTAAAAGAAAATTTTATATTAAATTCAAAGTCAAACAAATGTTATTTTAAATCAAATGGAGGACGTTGTATTTCCTACAGCTATGATTTTTTAACGAACTTCTGTGAAACTTCGCACCGGATTCTTTTATCAGTAGAGCCGATAACCCCGTTCATCATTTGTACCGAACTTGGTTCTGTTTTCAAATAATTATATTTTTGGTGGGATATCAATAATTTTTGTTATGTTTATTTTATTTTGTTTTTCACTTTATTATCTTATCTTGTTGTGTTTTTGATAACACTGTACGAATTAAATTACTTAGTATTAAAAATTAAACGCAACTACAACTGTCTACACAGAACATCGTTGTAGTTTTCAGACTTTTTCTTTTGTGTGCGCCTAATGATCTACCTTGATGCTAAACTTTTCCACTACTACAGTTTCTGTTGTACCACAAGGCAGCATGTTGATTCCTCTCCTGTTTGAAATTTTCATTAACTATATATGTCAAAACTTGTCCTCTTCCGACCTACAAATCTATATTGAGTCCTCTCTTGAAGATTTGTCTAAAGCACGTTGACGTAACCTAATTTAAACTAAATTAACGCTGGTCTGACTTGTATTTCGAACTGAAGTAATTGATATATAGTTTAACATTTAATCCTAAGGAATCGCGGGCCATTATCAATGGTAGTTCTAGATTAATTGGAAAAAGTGACTGACCTTGCCCACCCCTATTACTATCACATTTATATTTGGGCTCCACAAATATGATCACATCTCTGAATTTCGTAAATAATTCAAATGGTTCCTAATTCCTTTGCAGGAATACTCACATTCTCTCTGCTTTGTATGGTATCGCTTTGTACGTGCTGTTTAATCTTTCCACTCCTCGATACATAAAATACCGTTTACAGTATCTTTTCCTTACTCATAATTGGTTCTTTCAATCATTTGACAATCTTTCTCTCTCTACTCCCTTGCGCTTTTGCTCCTTTTATAAGAAATCCTTTACTGTCACTGCTGTGTGTTTTTGGAACTTTTAACCTTTCCACATTCGTCGTGCTAAATCTCTTCATTTTTTAAAAAAGTTTTGTTAAATCGTATTACTTGAATGTTATTAGATGAATTACCTTTAACTTTTCGTACTGTTCTCAATCAAATATTTTATCATATTAGGTATCATTTGGACATATATTTATATGTTATTAGATCATTTTTGTACTTAACCACTGTTTGCATCAGTACTCTACGCAAAAGTTCTCTGGAAGAGATCACTTTCAGAGTGATAAGGCTGCCTGTCGTACATACGAGTAGAGTACAATTTAAGGTAAGTATTACTTTAAATTGTACTCTACTCGTTTCTGCCTTTTCGTGTACAATAAAGGATAAATAAACAAATAAATAAACAGTTCTCTAGCTAATGCTTATAAAAACAATGAAATTAAAAAAAAAAACTATTTATTTAATACTAGCTTTTCGCCCTGCGGTTTAAAGTTGCTTAAGTTGTAAATTCCAGATAGTCATGACCCACGCTTATTTAAGGTGGCATTATACAGAGAGTTCAAGCTACCACCTGGAATCTTTCTTATATTTTGGAATGATAATGATCGCAGATTTGAAGTGACTCTGGCGTTTCGAATAGTGTTAACTCTTCGTACTCCACTACAGTCATCCTCTTTCTTCAGTTATATCTCGCCAGCAACGCAAAATCAGTAATTTGCATTTGGAAAAAGCCAAAATTAGGGGCTTTTTAGGTGCTAACTAAGTGCCAAGTTTAAAACTTAGGTGCTCTAAAATTTTCACCGCAACGAACGATTGAAATTTGCGTGAAAACTTCATTGCGTTGCTAGCAAAACATATCGCCAGCAACGCAATGACGTTATTAGATATATAATAAATATTAATAGCAAAGAATTAAGTGCTAGTTAAGTACTGCAAGTATAGGCAATGACAAGGCGCCCCTGATAAAAATAAAGTCGTTATTCAGAACAAAGCAAATGCAAAAATCAGGTCTTCTGAAAATCAGAATAGAATCAAAATTGCATTTAGAAAAAGCCATAATTAGGGGCTTTTTAGGTTTTAAT